TTTGTTCTCAAAGTGAAACCTTGTTTATAGATAAATGAAATAAAATAAATTAAAATATAAAATAAAATATGATAAAAAAATAAAATATAACAAAAAAAAATTAAAAAAAGGACAAATGAAACAAAATAACATAAATTCAAATAAAAAAATTAGTTAGTATTACAATTAAAAAAAAAGTTTGTAAAATATGCAAATTAAAAACAAATTTACATAATGATAAGTAAATACGTATATGTATATGTATGCAGATAAAGAAAATTTTTAATAAATCAACACAGCTAGTTAAAATCATTTTGATTAGCATAAAACATCTGTGAAACCCACAATCCTGGCTTTATGCAATGCGCTGCAGTCAGCACCCAACTTTCGGTGATCAATGAACCACCGCAAGCAAATTTCCGGCTACCATCGCCATTCTTATACTGCAACAGCGCCATCCAAGGGAATTCAAGTATATCCGCTTCAACACTACTGACGCTCGGATAAACCAAACCACATTTTTGGGAACGTAATATCTCCAAACCGATTGGATGCAATTTATTTAATAATTTACTGGGATCCTCTGTTGTTGGAAAAGTCTCCGTTAGCGCTATTGTTGTTGCTGTTGATGTTGATGGATCAACTGTTGTATAACCACTTTGTTGATAGGTCGTACTCGTATTACTTGTCTGTTTATAAATATTGTATTTTTCACCAAAAGTCAATACTAAACGCCTGTAGAACTCATCATTGAAAGTAGGTTCATCCACAATATCAAACGTAGGCAGTAGTGTCGTGAGTGCTGGTGGAGGCACATGTGGCACTGTTGGCATAGTTATAGCAGGTTTGGTAGTAAGCTCTGTTAGCACTATAGGGAGGGTTATCAAATACGGCGTAGGCACTGTTGGAACTACAGCATTGTCAGGGCAGCAAATCGTACCAGACTGAAAAGAAATGTTGCGTCGTTAAAAAGTAACTAATTTCACAATTGTTTGATGTTTTAAGTGTTGTTTTTTATTTCATATGCGAAACTAGAATAAAGAAATGTATGCAAATACCTCACAAATTTCATCAGGAAAAATGATTTGACCCTTTAGCACACTGCAGTCAGCATACGGCTTGCACAGCCCAATAGCATTACGATTTAAAGGACAAGTCTTTTGTGCACCTGAAAATTTAATATTTAAATATTTATGAGCCAACATCACGTACTAAATAAAAAATATTGTGCGCCGAGCTAAGGCGCGACTGAAGAGAAACTTCACTAATCTAACCTTACTCCTAGTCTTAATTTTTAAACTTTTATTCTTAATCTTAATATTAATCTTACTCTTAATCTTAATCATAATCTAAATCTTTATCTTAATTTTAACCTATCTTAATATTAATAATAATCTCAATCTTAATCGTGCCCAACCACGTCTGCCATCCGATCCCTTCTTCTGTTTTGTTGGAAAGTGGAATGTGAAGTTTTAAATTACAGTGAACCGACTGTAAAAAAGTTTCATTTCAATATAGTTTGAAAGATTTTGTTTATTCTGGCATGAAAAAAGCTTCCTTGCTTTCTTGGTGAAAAGCTCTTTGACAGAAAGCGCTTGGGCATGTTTCAAACGGAGATGTATATCATTTTAATCGCGCTGCTCCTCCAGCTGCAATGGCCAACTGAGCAAAGCACTGGCGTGCCATTCGAGAGATCCGAGGTTCGAATCCTCGGGAAACGAATTTTTTTTTATTTTTTTAATTTTAGTTGTTTTTGCTTTTGCACAATAAGTTTTTCATTAAAAACGGCCTCAAGCTCAATAAAAAATTGTTGAATAATTTAATTTTCTTTGATTTTTTAGATGTTATTGTTATAAAAAGAAAAGTGTATGTACATATATATATTTTGATATTGGGGATTTATTGGGATAATTAAATTTTTGGAAACTTATTTTATTATTATTTAATTTTATGTCTTTCTTTCAATTTAATGTTATTCTCGTTTTTAGTTTTTTTTAGTACCTCTGTTTAAATTTAACTTTTTTTATATTTTTTTAGTGTTTTTTCTTTAAATTTTAATTTAATTTAACTTTTACATCAATCTTTTATGTATTTTATTAACACCTATTTATTTTTTATATTTTTTTATTTTTACTTTTTAGATTTTATTGTTTTAACTCTTCGTCGGGCGTAACTGATCTGTGAGGCACAGCCAGCACATGTTTTTACTTCGCCGTGCCCTTTTATACCGTTAACTTTACTGACGCTCAGTAGCTGCCTCTTTTGAAGTGCTCTATACAGCAAAACCACTCAGTTTTTGTTTGACTCTCACAACCAGAACTTATGCGCCCAAACTCGTCAAATGTATTTAATTAATTGATTTTAGAACTATTTTTTTAAATTTTAATATTCATCTAAAGGTAGCTATTATGTACATGTCCCAGAGTTGAATCCTTATGGAATGTTTGCTGCTAAATTTGTGTCAAATAAATGGATTTTTACGAAAATGTTTACATTTATTTCCTTTCAACATCCCTAAATGCCGTGCCAGTATTCCCCAGATGTATAAACAATATAATTGTTTGATTAGTATATGGTTTTGAGAGTGTGCCAGTTAGGCACATTGCGCCCGAAATTGACAGTCACCATATTGCGCCTGACGAAGGGTTAAAAAGAAAAGTATATTTTCTGATATAATTAAATTTTTAGATACCTATTCTATTTATTTTATTTTTTTTGGGGTTTTTTCAATGTAATAATTTAATGTTTTTAAATATTTCATTAAATTTTCCTTAAATTTTTAGATTTTCTTGTTTTAAAAAGAAAATTATGTGTATATTTTATTTTAATTTAATTTTTAGAAACTTATTTTATAATTTTTTTTTCTAGTGTTTTCAATTTAATTTAATTTTTTTGTCGTTTTAAAAAGAAAAAAAATATAAATTTCTTCCATATTAAATTTTTAGAAAACTTATTGCTAAAAGACAGAATTACTCTAAGAACTTCCAGTTAGTATTGCGAAATATAGAAAAAGCTTTTCAGACAGTTGCAAGAAATTGCAAAGATTGTGGTGAGTTAATAGACCATTGCCAGAATTTCGCTGTATCTCGCTTCCCTACCAAATCGACTCCGAAACTATTTACAACATAGATCAAAGAAGACGTCTGTAAGTCAATAAGTGCGACGACACACCGATTTCAACCGCAAACAACGCGGAAACTTCGGTGGTCACGTTGGACAGCCCGATCTCGTTTTCCCAGAACCACACAAACGCGATCACCCATAACTACAGATCCTACAGATTTTGAGATAAAAACAAAGAAAAATTGCTTTTAACATAAAAGGCTAGTGTTTCTTGTGCAGTGCCTGAGGAACCGACCGCTTTAACTAAATCTATAGATGCATTTATTTCTGTAACTATGTATATCGATTATGATAACATATTGCATATAACGCTGTTTGAGCCAAGGAATAATACTTCCTTGCAGAAAATACTCACCTACACCATGGAAAATCAAGCCAAATGAGTAACTCAGAAGTATAAAGTACCAGAAAGACGACATTATGGCGCCAGATATTTCATTAATTTGTTTAAAGTTTTGTCGATCTATCGGTTATATCTGTGCTCATATGTACCTTTTAGAATTTCTGTTTACACAAGATATGAATTTTGCAAATATAAACGCACCATTTTGCCGATTTATGAACCGACGACTTAATCTTGCAACTGATGAATAATAACTAAATGCAGCAAATCTCAGCGTGAAATGGCAGCGTCGATGAATTCCAGTAATCATTTCAATTTATTGTAAAATTACAAATTAATATATGTATATATACATAATATGTATATACATACGGATTGTAAATAAGCAATGCTGTCGTCATTAAGTGGAATTTTATCAATCGTTAGCAAAAGAGGAAACGTTACTGCATTTCTGTAAAAATAAATAAATTCATACACAAATATGTATGTATGTATGTAGTTAGGCATGTTAACCCTTGATTATCAGTTCTACGTAAAATTTATTTACTCGTCGCACAAAAAAGAGTATATTGCGCTATTAAATATACATATCGTCGATGTTTTTGCAAAACGGCCATCGACCAGTTGCAAAACCGCCTAAATCGCCGATGTGGCAAAAATGAGATTTGGTNCAAAACAGATTTGAAAAATAATAGCTAGAGAAAATATCGCCTATCAAGGCATTGGCTTCAAAGAATAAACCGTTTTTTCGCTCTTCTGTAAAATTTGAGTGCCGTAAGATAGGCGGTTAAGCGATTGGGGGATGTGCGGTTTTGCAAAAACATCGACGATATGTATTTATACATACTGCAGAGAAAAAAGATGCTGTCTACAGAGACACGCTGATAAGCAATAAGGTGAGAGGCCGAGATAAGTGAACGTGAAGTGCTTGAAATGCTGACCGATCGTATTGTGTGAAAGAAGGCCACAGTCAACGAACTGATTTTGTCTCATTAGCGCGGCTTTAGACCTGGCAAATCCACCATAGACCACCATATTCACAATACGCCAAATCTTAAGAGTGACTCGTGGGAGTAGAATGGAAACGCACCATCTATTTTGTCAGCTGTACGATTTGAAAGACGAGATAAACAAATACGTACGTCAACTACTGGAACGACACTGTAAACTAGATTATCAATTAACGACGTTCACCAAGAGACAATTATCACGTTCCTAAACTCCTGTACCGTGAATATCGTCGTCGGAGTTGTATCCACACCAATTGTAGAGGAAAAGTTTCTGTTTCTAAACTACTATTACCTGTGGCAGACACTATCACTTTGAAATGGGGGTGCTATAGATATGGCCAATACTGTATATGGCGGGTGCCAAACCAACTTGTTTCCTCGCCACTATCAGGCAGATAGAACGTTCATGTCTACATACTTGTACATATATATGTATGTACATACATGAATGGAAGTATACTACATAAGCTTGGGTTTCCTTTAATTTATAAATAATAGTTTTTTTGCATAGATATGGCGTTTTTGCAATACTCTTTAGTTTCATTTATTTATTTATATTTTACTAATTTAAGTATTTTATTTTAAAGTGAATTTGCGATATTAAAAATATTTTTTCGTACTAAATTTTTTACTACTTAATTCACTTTAAACATTTGTCACAATTTTATCCACTCAGGCGTGCAGAGAAATTGAAACAACACTCCGATTAGTTAAATACATATATGCAGTATTACACCCCGTTAACAGGCGGTGCCACAACCCTTCAGACATGCCAAACAGCCAGCATTTTCTAGCGCCGCTATGCAATGGCCGCAATTTGTGGCATTTAGTGAAAATTTGTGTTTGCTTCAAGCGTATGAAATTAAATTAAATATCCGCGTAAAGCGGATTACAAAGTGAAAGGCTGAAAATCAGTTAGACAAAATGAGAAATGGAAATGCAGTCAAATTGTTAGATTGAAATTCATACATAAATATGTAATTGTTTCTGTATTACTTGTAAAAACTTTGAAAGCGCTTTTATATACACACACATATTTTTTATTTGATTGCAAATTGCGTGATGACAAATTTGTGGAAAAAATATTACTTCGCTTACGCTTGGTTTAATGCTGTTTTTTTAATGCTTTCAGGAAAAAAATTTCTACGTCAATGGTTTTTAATTTTTTAATGGCATTTTAGCGATATAGAAAATGTATTTGAATTTATTATAGCGTAGGCAAGTGAATATAGACATACATATGTGTATATTAGAGTGCTCCATTTTTTTGCAAAATTCGGTCTACAAATTAGGGTGGTACTTAAAAATTTCAACATCTAAATACTGTATGGGACGTAACTTTATTTTGTTTTACGTTTAAAAAAAGACATTCACGAAAATTCCAAAAACTCAGCGAGTTTTGGTCCGATCAAACAAACAGTGGTATGTCGTTTGAAACGTACTGCGTACGTCACTGTATTGATCGAACTTGTCTGTTTAACAAAATACCATTATCTCAAAATCCTGCTCATAAATAGGTATATTTGAGAAAAAATGCGCTTTAAGCACTTAGTATTTTTTTTTTTAGATAAGTATTTCTAAACCAGTCTTATTAAAAACACGTTGTCGGCGAATTCAATACAATTGTATTCCGAAATTGAATTGGAAAAGCGCAGCATGCTGAGCATAAATGAGAGCTGAACAAAAATTCGATCAATAAAATAGCCTAAACCTATCCAGGAGATAGTTGTTTAAACTCGAGATACATAGCTTACAATGACCTGCGGGAGAGATTGAGTATCAACGGATTCAGCGGAAATATTGAAGATAGAAAAGATGAACAATGCAGTTAGTCTTGCTTCTCAACAATGAAAATTATATAGACATTATAGCTAGCAGTAGAAACAAGACGACTTCGGGACAGGCAGGGCCTAAGGAACCGTGACTGAAACTCTAGAAAACTTTACCTATTACATTTTGCAAAAAATATCGTCTTATATATGGGACACCCTAATGTAGTACAAAAACATATTCTCTTATAAGTGTACATAGATTTGTATTTACTTGTATGAATCAGTGTTCCGCAAAGTAAACTATTAACGGTAATATAAAAAAAGTAATTAATTTAATTCCATAAAGTATATACAAATTTGCATAATAAGAAGCAAACATTTTAGAGCATTGCAAATTTTATTATTTTGAGCCATGTAAACCGTAATTATATGTTATTTTTGAAGGAAAATTGGCCAACAACTTTTGCTTTATACTTTTTAGGCATTCACGAATTTGAAACGTAAGAAAACATCCCAATTAGAGCAGTAGAGATCTCTGAGGTCCGAAAAAATCTAAAAAAACCCTAAATATTACAAAGCATATTTATTACAAAAAAAAACAAATTCCAAAAAAAAAACAAATTCCAAAAAAAATTTTATATTTCGAGAAAATGTAGTAATGTTACAAAAAATCTTTAATTATTAATAGATATATTTAGACAATCAGTGCTGCAGTATGCCAAAAGAAGAGGTCTGCAATATAGCGTACAAGATGAAAGTAACTTTCGCTATCAAGTCTTTCGAGCCCTACTAAGCGGTCGTACCGGATGGCGGGATGTATGTAACGAAAGGTTGGTGGCAGATGAGCATCATATTTATCCCTAAGGTAGGGAAGATAATTCGCTTACAACTAAGGGTTTTAGGTCGATAAGTAATTTTTGTTTTCAATGTTATGAAAAAGGATCATTGGTGCCGTCTGAAAAACTTCCTGAGAAAACCAAATTTGGTGGCAGCGTAATCTATTTTGGAACTGAAAAGGAAAGAGCTACTTTTGTGGAATGAATTTATATCGAAGTACAATTCTTTTTTTTGTTTTGTGACGACGTCACGATAGCAACGAATAGGCGAGAAGAAGGAGAGAAAAATTTAATATTGCGCTCGAAATAACGAAATAGAGACGCACTAAAGTAGTAGAAAGTGACGCGAATTCTTAGCAAATAAAATTTTTACGGTAGTTTACTAGCAAAAACTAGTGGTAACAAGGTGGTTGCAAGGTATCGCTGTATGTACCATACTTCAATAAGACTGTTATCCATAAACTTGTTGAGTATTGCGGAAACTAATGATCCCAACTAACTTCCCTCAGTACTCTATTGTAATGCATGTATTTGAGTAATGCTATAAAGTCTTACCATATGGGCGAAAAATCAGAAATCAATAGACGAAGCATGAGCACTTGACGTTCTAACCTGTCTTTCACTCACCCTCCACTCTTGTTTGTGCTGACAGGTGATGACACTGACATTTTCAATGCAATCAACGATTCACCCAAAGAGACATTTAATTATGGGCTACCAAAGTATAACTAACTACTTGACTAAATATGCGTTTGAATACCGGAAAAAAGCGGGTAATCACCGAGGGAAAAAGTAATGCGACAAAAAAATAAACATACAAATACACTTATACAGATATGAACTCATTTACAGGCGATTGCACTTGTCAACGTGCGTACACTCCAATTTCAGCACAGCTGAGTAGTTCATCAGTGGCGCATCAAATGAATGAATAAAACGAAGTGAAATTGAAATAATATGCGATGAACAATGATGAGTGAATGAGTGCTCAAATGAAATGTCACTGTCACTTTGACTCTTTACTTGCTGGTAGCGGCGTCAGCAATTTAATAGGTATATATACACTATTTATGTGATCAACAGCTATCATTGTGACGGTTTAACTGTCATCTTCAATGCTGTCAACAAAAGTAGTGTATGCTTTCGTTTTCGAACCACCCTTCTTTGAACTAAATACTTAAGTGAGTAGAGTAGGGGAAAGAAATGAATCGCAAACAAATTCAATCAGTGGTGCTACTCTTTTGCTTTTTTTTTTGTTTTTCCTTTTCAATTTTCACCACTGACTGTGCTATTCATTGGGCATTTGTTGCTCATTTCGGCCACATATGCCACAATTTTTGAATGCGCCTCATTGTCGGTGCATTTATGTGCGACAAGTGTTCATATTTGTTTATGGAATACGTAATGGAAGTTAAATGCTTTAGTTGCGACTTTCAATTATGTCACATTAGAGGTTCAAATGTATGTACAGAGATAAGTATATGTACCCATGAATGTATGTTTATGCATACTCGTTTGCGTATGGGCACTTAATAAAAGCATACATGTATGTACGTATACTATATACATACAATGCATACATATATACATATATTAAGGTGCGTAGCTCTCATACAAAAAAAAACCGGTATTGTTTTTCCATCGGA